CACGCGTACACCATTTTCGACCGGTATGCACACTTATTAGAATTGCGGATAAGTAAAGTGCTTTGTGTTCAGAGGCCGGCAAAACGTCCGAGAGTAAACAATGGAAGCGGTTACGCAACTCTGATATACTCGCGCTCGAGTACGCGAGGAGAAGTATAGTAGTATCTCGGTGTCACGACGAACATTCTTCACTCGCGATTTCGCCCGTGACTCCTTTCGTCGTTGGTTTACCTCTTTGTATCTATGCACGAGATACGATACGACTCGATGGTATGTGAATAATTGTATATTTTATCTGGATTTGGAGTTATATTAAGTCGTTGCATAACAATATCTTATTATTAGGTTGTCCGAAAAGTTTCTTTCGTTTCATAAGGTGATGATGGATGAACAACAATTTCTGTTTTATATTGTTTTATTGAAGTAGGTATGATCCATTTCGTTGTTATTATGTTCATGCATAATTCAATAAACTAATATAAAACAAAAGACATCGTGCGTCTATTATTTCCTTATAAAACGAAAGAAACTTCTCGGACAACCTAATACGTAATAATGTTGTTCGAAAATTGAAATCTTCCTAACTTAATCTCATTTTCGTTCGATCCAGGGACTCTACATATTTTCTGTAAACGTAAATAAAAGATAAATAATCCTCTTCCAATTCCACTAAATATAACGCGCAACATCTCACTCTGAAGAACAGTGAAACATTGGCAACAATCTATTAATCATCCAACTTCTAATCATAGTAACATTTAACTATCTAGCTTTTAACCGTAAGGACATCGTTCATTTTCAACAGCGAAATCGTTTGTACGCGCACGATGACGAGATTACGAGTTTCAAAAATAAGAAGCGCAATGGTTCATTTACGCGAAAGACGCTGCATCAACGACGACGAAGAGCAGAAGAAAGAAGAGAAAATGGAGACCCGAGGTCGTAGAAACGAGCGTGCACAGGAGGATACATTAAAGCTAATGGGCCTTCTTTCGCGTAATCGACGATACCGCGGGTGGCCGCCGTGTTTCCCGCAGAGAGAACCTTTATGACTTCATCGAGACTAAGCCGGTCTCCATTGGAGAACGTGCACAGCTCATCATCGATAAGCATGCTCTAAGACGAGTCGTCTAATTCGGGAACCTGTCATGTCGTTCTTTAACGATTCGTATCAATTTACCTCTTGATTAAGCCAGCCTTCGTCCGTGCAGCCTTAACCTTCCAGCAATTACGAGTCGTGTTTCGTTCGAATCTGGACAGCGTAAATCTCGGAAATTACAATGGAGACTGGACGAGCAACGCCTTCGAGACGAATTTATTGGAGGATAGCGTCTCGCGATCCGCAATTTCGCGAATTACAGACCTTCACGGGTCACGTCCACCAGATAAGATCAAGTTCTTTTTCCTTAGGTTGGCGCATAAAAGATGTTTTTTCAAGTCGCACACTGCATTTAATCGAAGTAATTTCCACGTTAGTCGTTTAATCGATTAACAATTTCTATCTTAAACGATGATACTTATCCTAGACTTGTCAGAAATTCACGATAGACGACACTTTTTCAAATCCATCAAATATCATACAATGTACAACATACGTGTCTACTTTCAAAAACGCTCCAAACATTCCAAATAATCAAATATCTAAGAATGTGTATCTTTCTCCTACATGTCGGAGATGTAGGGACATCGGGCTTTTCTTTTGGAATTCTTAGGAAGATCCCCAATAATTTGGTCTAAACTATTTATTATAGCTGTACTTAAATAATAGAACTTAGGAGTAGTAGTTGTGATACGATCTGATTATGTTTGCCCGAGATTTGTGACGTGGGCTCGGGCTCGAGATGACACAACTGGTCGCCTAACGTAGCCACGGTCACGGGATGAACGTTTTTAGTTAACAGAAGAAGTATCAATATCGAGGGACACGCTGTATTAACAAACAAGCCCCGGGCAGGAGCAATGTCGACTCTACGCGGGTCTGCCTAGTAACGGTGCCTGGAATTTTGTCGATATCCCCGGTCAATATGCAATTGACAAATGTGATCGTATCAGTCTTTTATTCTTGTGATCACCTTGGAGAGTTTTCACACAACGTCTTGTCAGTCTGTCAGAAAGATACCGAGCGTCACAGCTAACGTCACTTTGTGTTTCAAAATATATTCTATTGTACAAAGAGTTTTCCCCGTTGACCGTGGATTCGTTAATGAACCGAAGAACATTGTCTTTAACATCTAGAGTGTCTAATCACCACGTTTAATTGTCAAACTCTGTTAAATCAACATTTGTACATATCATTGTAAATATAATCTCCATTGAACAACAACGATGGCTTGTCCTAATGAAGATATGTTACATGACATGATTACTAAGTCTAACGCTAGCATGACAAACCCAACAATTACACGCCCCTAAGTCTAACGTCAACCCGACATATGAATTCTAAATGTAAATTTAGCGTTCCTATACCATTATTTCGGCTATTAAGATCCAAAATTCTCAACAACTGGTAATAGATTAATAAATTTTATTAGCAGATTCACACGTTATAGATTGTAGGTGATAGACTGCGATTGATTTTGTATTAATGAGAATTCTAAAGATGAAAAAATACACGGGATGCGCTCATAAAAATATATAAAATTCTACTTCTTTGGTTGTATGTATATATAAGAAAAAAAAATTCCATCTTTCATTTTTCGATTTATAATTCACGCTCGAATTTAAATTCCATCTCACGTTTCTCTACACCATTGCTGGTAATTTTGCAGCAAGTCTTGCGAATGCTAATTGCAATGATTACCGCGATGCGGCATTTCCATTAAATATCCCAGCATCAAACCACTCGAATATCACAAAATGTCATAATTAATGACATACACGGAAACCTCTGAAAGAACAACAGCGCTATCAAATTTGAAACGAATCGAATATCCAACACGATCCTTTTAGATATGTATGTATATCGAATTATGTACAAATTCTGCATCGACCAAACACAAACGAGTCTTTTATTCTTGTGATCATCTTGCAGAGTTCTCACACAACGTCTTGTCAGTCTGTCAGAAAGATACCGTGTGTCACAGCTAACGTCACTTAGAGTTTCAAAACATATTCAATTGCACAAAGAGTTTTCCCGTTGACCGTAGATTCGTTTGAACCTAAGAACATTGTCTTTCACATTAAGAGTGTCTAATTACCATTAAATTACTGTTAAATCAACACTTGTACATATAATTGTAAATATAAACTCCATTGAACAACAACGATGGCTTGTCCTAACGAAGATACGCAACGCGCCCCTAAGACTAACGCCAACCCGACAAACCCGACATATATATTACTATCCTTCGTGTATCAAACGGTTTATAACTAAATAAATGGAATTTATAGAGAAAGGAGACTCGAGAGCTATAGAGAGCTATGGAGGCCCGGATAATACCGATCGAGAGAGAAGTGAAGAGAAAGGAAATGAGTGGACGTGTCGAACGCAGTAGTGTCTCGGTGTCGGGAGTGCCGTACGAGTTTCCGACACCGTTTTAATTGCGTCCACTCTAACGGTAGCTGTTCGCCATAGCATCGCGTCGCGAATGCCGGATCGTCGAGAAAGCTGTGCACCAGCGACGATGCCGATGGATCGATCGATCAAACGCTTCCTAGCTACGTCCACCGCCACTCGGAAAAGTAGCAATAATAACGGATATCTGCGTGTGATAACGGTCCTCGAGGGTGAAAGCGTTCTCTTTCTTATTGGAGATTCCTAGTTTCAGAATTTAGGTATTTAATTTAATCGAATGAAAGAGAATCGTGCAATAGCGTAGTTAGAAGTTTTTGTTTGGATATGCAAAAACTGCTATCCTTTTACAGTTGGGAAATGTGGTAAGTAAACTGATGGTAAAATGTTTCATAGTATTTGAAAATCACTTACGTTGAACTCGAGTAGTATTAGGTCTGTATCTCCTGTGTTCCCGATCCCAGGTCTCCGGATGCCTTTTCCAGTCCTCATCCCCAACCACTCCAGTTCCTCCACCTCCAGGTATTCCTTGTAGACCCTGAAGGGTCTGAAGAGCTTGAAGATTCGGGCTCAAGGGTCTTCCTTTTAGCGATGGTATTGGCACATACGCTGCTCCTTCTCCAACGTACACAACCTTCGTTCGAAAGGAACAAAATTAACTCGATTAACAAAGCTAAATTGAATTAAATCATTCGAAATCCATTTCCAACTAATAGACAGTTACAGATTGCTCAATCTTTCCTTATATTTTTGAATTTCTAATAATTTTAAATTTCAAATGGTACTTTCCACAATACTTTTATTTTTTTATCTTAACTAGATTGCGAATGTTTATGCATTTATGAAAAATTTAAATATACAGAAATATGTAAAATATATATATAATATGCAGAGGTATCTATAATATGAGTAATACATAATATAATTGAAATAATCCAGCTCTAAAAATTCTGTTCTTTTAGGCAGATATATTCGCAAAATTATGAATTTGCGTAAATATTCACAATCTATTAATAACAGAAACACAATTTTTGTCACACGACGAACACGGTACGTCGACAAAAATCAATTTCAAGTATCTTAACGTCATCACCGAAACTTACAAATTAATGAATAATGAATAAACAATGGTATACCAGGAATAACAAAATTGCCAAACCACATTATGGGAATCGCACAACAAACAGCAAAATAGACCCACACCATTCATAACAGAGATGATAATGCCTCTTTTACCGTTGATCCAGGTGCAATTTCCCACGTGGAAACGAGTGGTTACAAAGGAAAAGGGAAAACGACGAGATGAGAAGGAAAAGAACTGTACGATGGACGCGTGACTAACGCTTGGCAAGCTCGTTCCTCACGTGTTGTGTGAACGCCTTGAAACATCGGGTTCTTGTTCTTGTACGATTGCAATGCACGCGCGTCAGGATAATACTTGGTTTCGCTTGTCGCGTAACCCGTGACTTCCATTTGTTCCACCATCTCCAGCAATCTTCCTTCTCCTCTTCCTCGTTTTCTGTATCACTTGGTGCACGTGTCTTATGGATCTAACAGCGTGCATCAAAGTTAGCCGATAAATGTTTCAAGAGAAAAGTCGTGTTTATGTCGAAGATGGTTATTGCAGTTCGTAGTACTATGCTAATACTCGCTACTTTGCAACAAAGTTCTTAAACCAATGTTATACAACTTTCCTCGAATTGTGAATTTCTTTCGTAATAGCCAAATAATCTGTCACCTCCTCTCTTTTATATAGTTTGGATAGAGCTGCGTTTCATAAGGATAAGACTATCATAAATTTCCAATTCATATAACATGAGAAAACCTAACTATAAGTCTACAAAATTGAACAGTTATGAAAGTTCACTTAAGGAACTTATTGCGTTCTTAGTCTAATTTTCGTATAATAAAATATTCTGCTATTTTAGCGGCATAATTATGAAACAAGAATATAAATTCTTCCTCTTTAGCGAATACAATCAAACTTGATTTCAAACACCTTATCATTCAATATATAAAATACATTCTTATATATATTAAGTTAATATACAAAAATTAAAAATTTTTAGGTGATTTTATGGTTATGAGACGCAGTGCAATGTACTTCCTTCCTAAAAATCTCAGTGTTATAACACGAATATAATAATGTAACTATATTGAAACCATATTGAACTATATTGAACTATATTGAACTATATGTAACTATATTGAAAAACGAATCCTCAAAAAATACTTTGCGATTCAGAGATTGGTAACCTGAATTATAAGGAATCGTGTAAACGAAGTCTATCTGTGACTGAATATCAGTTTTGTTTCTGATCTTCAGTTTTACGAGACTGTTTCGCCTTGCAAACGCGGCACGCAGAATCCAGAGGGGAGAAAGAACAATAAGAAGAGAAGCAGATTGCAACATGCACCGTAAACGAAAAAGAGCATAATTCTTGTGGAATACGTCGTCTTACGGGACCTCTGGAATCCGTTGCAATTATCGAAACGACAATGGAAAGCCATTTTCACAGGACTTTTCAAAAAAGCCTTTCCCTTCCTACCTCATCAACCTTTCAAACCCTACGCAAACTTTCGAGACTTTCCAACCTATCGAGATGTTCAAGATTTCTAAGACGATCAAGTTTTTTAAGAGTTTTAAATTTCGCATCGTGTTTGAAGCGATTGGAAATTTTTACTATAATGCAAATTCAATGCGAATTCATCACTAGTATTCTCTCTGAGCCGGATCAACTAGGAGGCGGCACGTGGTTGGTGGTAAACGCCAGGCTACGCAAAAAGTACTGCAAATAGCCTCCATATGTCGGTACCAGTGGAAACAATCGTGTCGTTACACGCTCTTCTTCGCCGATCTCTCGCCTCTTTTTACCTCGTTTCTTCGTCTGCTACCAGCTCCAACAACGAGCTGAGATTCTTTCTCGGATTCCAGTTCGTGCGTTCTCCACCCGAATCAACTCTCCGCGCGAGCAACTTACACGCAGTATTCTCGTCATTTTCCTTTTCGTTCTCCTATTTGTACTCTTTCTTGGGAGATTATAGCTTTTCATGGATTCCACTTTTCTGACATTTCTGGAACTTCTTCTGGAAATTGAGCGGCGTTTATGGGCCACTAGAATGGTTAACAGCATCGCTCCTTCGTGGTATCTTCTGTCTCTTCGCTTTATGGGAGCCGGAGGATACTTCGAAACGTCTTTAGAGGTATCGTTTTGAGAAACGCTCGCGAGGTAGAACGTGCAACGTGTTTGGCAAAAGGCTTAGGTTAAAGTGCTCGGTTTCCACGGAAATGGATCGTTTAGATCTTTCTTTTCGGCTTTTAGGAATATCCAGGAAGCGCGCCTTTTCACTGCGGATGATCTCTTGTTCTTGTAAGAAATAGAATTTTGAGAGCTAAATAGCTTTTCACAAATTGTGATTTTGAAACGTCAGTGCTTGTGCTTAAAATATAGCTCATCCTAAGGATCAAAACTTTATTGAATTATCTCAATAAATTTTCTATCCTTTTCATTGTTAAATACAATTCTGAATCTTCAATCGTAGCAAATTTATCTAAATATCTATCATAATAAATTCAAAATAAATTCAATAAATTCAAATAAATAAATAGATGAGAATATTAGAAATATTTCTTCTGGAACTGGATATCTTGTGAAAAATATAAAATTGTAAGACTCATATCATTTTGAAAATTGTAACTTTCCTGTTTTCTATGCTCCATGTCTATTTAAAATCGAAAGATCTATTTTCTCGAAATATCTTCCATTGTCTCTATAATTAAATATATTAATTCGCTACGTTCAATATAATATAAATATATTCTAAATCCTCTACATATTATAAGCTCGATATAACAAGAATACTTGGAATGCTTCTCCTAAAAGACGATGATCTTTTACCTTATAAGAAAAGTAAGAATTTGAGACTTAAAATTCCTTTTTAACAATATTGATTTTCTACATAATTTTTTATGTTTGATACTTAAGATCAAATCTGCATAGATATTTTATCTTCTTGAGATAGCTTCAGTCGTCTTCTTCGTTAGATATCATTGTGGATCGACTACGTGTCATAGTAAACTCGACGTGACATCCATGGATAGCGTATTTTAAGACAAGATCTTTCTGCGGGCTGTTGTCGATGGTCTCTCGAGTCTCATCATGACACGAGCACTCATGCGATGATTAACGGTCGCGTGGTTAGAGCGACGAAACTCATTAGTCGAGCTATGATCGGTCAGATGAGAGCTAGGTGAACGTACCTATCGTATCTCGGAGATTGTCCCTGACCTACACCTGTTCATCAACCAAACCTGATTATCTTATCGTTTAATGTTTCTTGCGAATTCCATGTGATCCGTAATTCCCGGTTTTAGCCAGAAGAATTCTCTTGTGGTTGTACTAAATTACAGAAAATACGTTCATCGGTGCTTTTTATAGTTTCTTCTGTTGTGATTTGTTTCGTTGATGCGCAGGTATTTCGTTCACTGGATACTACAAGTAGGAAAAAATGTTGTTGATTATCGTTCGAAAAAACTGTCCAAGTTCGCAATGTGTAGATTCTTAGAAAATAATGATTTATCACTTCACAAAATGGAAAATAACCAGCCGTTTCTATAGAACCGCATGATCAGGGGGATTAACCTTCGGCGTACTAGTCAAACACGTGTCAATCGCTTATCTTCTCTCCTAGCGTATAAATAATCGATGCGGAAAATATATCGTCGGTCTGCTAAAAGAATGATATAAACAGTAAATTTAAACTTTTTAGGAAATCGGTTTAAAGCAGCAGATTATTAAAACAGAGAACATTTTTCGATCTTCTTCCCTTCGCAGTTGAGTTAATTTTTAACGTTAAGCAAAATCTTTAAATTTTGTACGTCTCTAATAAAAATTCTAAAGGATTATAATAGTTTTTTGTGTCAAATAATATAATTTTATTAGACAAGATGATGGTATCACCGTGCTAAAATATAGGGAAATTTGCAAATACACAAAATTAACTCTTCTAGTAAACCAAAGAATTTCTTTTTATTTGAATAAAAAAATTCTTAAGTTTCCTTATACAAGAACTACCAATGTTCTTAAAAAAACGGAGGTAAATTATGCTATAGACATCACCGGCGCAATTCAGGTGAAAATGATTCGATGAAGATGAAGAATCTGCAACGTGAATATGCATCATGGAACTGACGCTTCGTCGAATCAACTTCGACTTCGTAAAAATACTCACAGCATCGTGATCGCTGGCCTCATGCGTTAACGCTTCCCTGGTTTCATTGTGAAGCGAGTCGTCATCCTCGGGACCAGATCCACTTCCGGCCCAATAATCCTCGGTTGTCTCGTCCAACACCGAGTCTTCCGCGTTTCCATCGCCTTCTCCGTGCTCGTGATTCGTTGCCTTCAAAATTTACCTTTAACTTTAGTCTTCATAAAAGATAAAAATTTCAAATAGTCATTTTTGTGCTGATCTACCTGACATCGAAGCGTTGCCACTGTTAAAAGCCACACGATTGCGTATCTGGAACAAAAAGAAGACAACGTTTTTATTAGTTTAATAATATATTTTCAAAATTTTAGAATTTTACGCTCAAAATAATTATTTTCTCTTGTCTGAAAACAACTATTTTCTCTACCTGAAGAAGAAGATATTTCCAAAATGCTATAATTCTATAATATTTTAAATAACTATTTTAATTATTGTTTACACAATATTGAAGGCAATATAGATTAATGTACTACACATATTCCAATGTAAAGACATACAAATCAATTAAAGGCAAAATTAGAATTATGTACTCGGATACTTAGCAGTGCAATTCTCGTAGGCACCTTTTATTTATTCGATGACATAAGCAAATTAATAGTCTACAAGTTCTAATGCATTCTAATGACCAGTTTAGACGCATTCTAATAACTACTTTAAATGCTATGAATATATTTGAATAGGTATGCTAATTTCAAATACTGTCGCAAAGTTCTTTCGTTTCATTAACTTTTCTATTTCTTTTTACAGAAACCTTTCTGCAGAAACAACAACAATTTTTTTATGTACTTGATTAGTTTAGCCATTAGTTTAGCAGTGTTAAAGACAAGGTAAATTTAAATTATATTTCAATTGCCATATAGAATATAGCAACGCTTCTTCGATATTTGAGTTTTCATTTGCATTCGAAATTATAATGGCATTAATAATTGCCACTTATAAGTGCCAATAATATTGTCGCTTTAGCATATTGCTATTTGCGTCGCCCCGCTAATTCTTTTGTCGTCGAGTTCAAATTTTCTATTGTTCGTTCATCTTCCAAAGCGAAACATTTATAAAAATCATTTAGCAATTGTCCTTCCGAAAAAATTATAGCTAGATAACAAAAATAACATGTGAGGGAAACAAAGAAGATTTAAGAAATCTGTAATGTTTAACAAATATGAAGAAACCAGACATTTTGGATAGAAATAAACTTTCCAAACTTGTTGGTTTCTCTCGGTAGAGACAAAAATAACAAATTTTTCCACATCGAGTCAGAATTTGATCTACAAGATTTTGATTACCCTACAGATTTCCAGTCCACACACGTTTCTAGTCTAGACACCGTTCCTTATGCCAAAGAAGCCCCAGGTTCCCTGTGATTATCCAAGGTAAGCGAAGCAGCCTGAGAACGTGAAGCGGACTCGGAACGTGCACGTTTGTTCACGCGGTAACAGGCCGCGGACCGACGCGAATTCGCGATAATAACGAAAGACAACGGACGGATAGGATCGCGGGAAACCATAATCGGATCATTGCCAAGCGTGACTTGGCCTAATCGGCCCGCAGGATCGAGGGAATCCTCGTCGATGCGTCAGCAAACGCGTGTCTCGCATACGGAACGCGTTTCACCACTTTTTGACTCGTGACACTCGCCAAGTTCCTGCAAGCTTCCATAATGTTCCCAGAACAAGAGTAGAAGAAATAGAATGATCAATGAGTCGTGTTCACGAGAGAGTGGCGCAATGAACTTGACAATACTCGATCTTGTAAGAAATGGAAAGACGTTAACCCGTTAGGATTCGTGTCACTTTTGTTCTCGTAGAGCGAACCGATGAATTCGTTCCTCCCCTTTTGTTTTATCACTTCCTCCTTCTCCAGGCTACGTTTTTCGCCATCTACCTCTTCTACGTGGCTGGTTGCACTTCATCGACTTCCTTTCTACGACGCCGATGTAACGGGTCTCTTTCTTTCACATCGATCACACTCGAGTCTAACCCTGTGTGGTTTGTTGGTTTTCCTTTGATATATTCACGACATATTGTGATCTAAAAATCATAGTTCGTTTATTTTTTCATAAAACATTGTTGTATTCTTATTATTATAGAAAAGCTTGAACTTTCGAGTTAATAAAATATATCGCGAAATGAAACTGTAATTTGATTAACTGTCAAATTAAACGAATAATTCTTTTAATATACGCTTAAAACTTCGACTTACGCCACTCTAATTTTCAGTCTTCGATATATGATGTATGTGCAACCCTGTTCAGAAATCTTCAAATAGCTGCTACGTATAATAAAACAATTGAACGGCTGTGTTCGTAGATCGAATACAGAAAAATAAAACAATCATTCAGCTCTTAAGCTATGGAGTGCAAAAGGAAAAGATTGTTCTGTATATTAGCAGTCCACGTGAACGAAGTGGCGGTCAAAAGCTAGTAAATACTATCTATTAATAGAATCATCTAGGTTAGATAGAAAAGAATTTAAGATTGAATTTAGGTTGGCAGAAAATTCGAGGAATTATATGTTCGTATAAAATGGAGACATACCTCTGACTAACAAAAATTCCAATTTATTTGGGTCGGTTCCGGAGTGTTGGTTTTCCTATTGGTTTGCTCTAGACATTATTTCCCAATAAACACGCGTTCACGATGATTACTATGATACAGGTGGTAATGAGGCGGTCGGAACCGATGTAATTTCTGTTATCGAGATAAACGCGTGTACACGTTAACTCTTGGTAACGGCAGGGATGAGGTTCCTTTCTGGGCTGTTAATTGCAACGCTGCAGCTTCTCGCGGAAATCGACAACTTCCCACGAGCGAAAGATCTCGATTAAAAACGGGGCACGTGAAATCAATCTTGCGAATTGTTTCTGTGATAGGCTGAAGGATTATTTCAATTAACCGGTCAGCTGTTTCTGACGAGTATACTCGTCATGAAGAAATGGCAATATTTTGTGTTATCACGAGCCCTGTCAGTAATAAAATTAAAAAATAAAAGTCATTTTACAATATAACAAGTTAATTTTATATTATAACAGCCACACGCTTACCTTTTGCGACACATTTCAGGCACACACTTTTCAAAGAAATCGCAACGGCTGGTTAATTAGATGCTACTTTACGTGATATTAGGTTGTCCGGAAAGTTCTTTTCGTTGTTTAAACAGGAGATAAATATAAAATGTATTTCCTTCTGTGTACCTTTCTTAAATAATGTATGATCCTTTCTCTCCTAGCATCTTTTGCCATCTCTCCGGGAGCCTCATAGTGCCATTTTTCCAAAATTCTCTTGGCTTGCTTTTAAAATATTCTTCGAGGTCGTTTTCCACTGATTTGAATTTTCTATTGCGAAGAAAATTCTTTAGAGAAAGGAACAAATAATAGTTCGATGGTGCAAGGTCTGGAGAGTATGGAGGATGTGATGAAACATCCCTATCAAACTCTAGAAGTTTCGTTCGCAACGCTAAAGAAACGTGCGGCCTCGCTTCATCGCGGTGAAACACGACGCCACGTTTGTTCACCACTTCAGGACGTTTTGTGATAATGGCTTCCTTAAGTTTTTCGAGTTGGGTGCAATATTTATCACTGTTGATCGTTTGTCCTTCCGGAAATAATTCGTAGTAGAGGATACCCTTCAAGTTCCACCAAATTGAAAGCAGCACCTTCTTCGGGTGAAGTCCAGGTCTTGCTACCGTTGGAGGGCACTTGTCGTGTCGTAGAGAATCCAACTTTCATCCCCAGTAATTAACTTTTTAAAAAATGGCTCTCTTTTGTTGCGTTGAATTAGCAAATCGCATGTCGAGATTCGATTCAGGAGATTGCTCTCCGTCAGTTGATGGGGGACCCACACTTCGTAGCGATTAACGCACTCAAGCTTTGATAAATGCTCATGAATCGTTGTCCACGGATTGTTTAAAGCATCTGCTATCTCACGAACACTAGACCTTGGGTTTTCATCGAGGTAGGCCTTGATGAGGTCAGTATCAGTGGTGGATGGACGTCCGCTCCGATCTTCGTCTTTCAGATTAAAATTTCTTGCTCTGAATCTCCTAAATCAATTCAGGGCTGTTTGAACAGTTATAGACCGATCACTATAAACGTCACAGATCTCCTTTGCAGTGTTTTTAGGCGCACTGTCTTTTTTAAAGCAGTGAAACATAACGAAAATGCATCTTTTGGTCTTCCATCTTTCACCACGAAAAAAACACTTCATACACTTTCCACTGACGCCGAGAACTGTTCTCTTGCCTCACCAGAGGATAACTAGTCACCCCACGATTGACGGTAGAGTGATTTGGTGGTTTGTTTACTTAAGCAGAACGAGATAAGGCCCCGAACGGCGAACACAAAAAAACTTTCCGGGCAACCTAATAGTAATTGCGTGTTCAATCCTGATCCGTTTGTTTACTCTTGGGCTTGTTCCTTTATGCTCTCCACTTGTTTGTTTACATTCGTGCCTTGTCTATTTACATCTCAGATTTTTTATTCCCAATTAGCTTGTTTGCGCGATATTCTTAGAACTTTTTATAATTTCGTAGCGGCACATGAGTCGGAGAACAATGTTGTTGTTTTGCCTTGGGACATCGACACCGTCTGGACATATCAAACGTAGCCGCAAATAAACTCCAGGCAAAACAATGTCGCCGCTACGTGCAACCGTCAATAGAAGTTGAATTTAAGCTTTCCGGCACTCGCCCGACCAATATAAATAACCGAACACGATCGTTAAGAGAATCAGTCTTTGGACGAGACAGTAGCGAATCAGTTAGTCAATCAGTCTCGAGCATTCTTATATCAGCAATCAGTACGCAGTCTTTAGAGCGAATCAATCAGTAATCAGTCTGTGGCGGCACTCGACCACGGAACTTTCCAACGGCTTCGCGACACAAAACGCTATATCTTCAAAGCGTAAAGCCGACATGCCTAATGTACCATCGATATCCCTACGGTTCTTTCGCCGAATATTCGGAAGAATGCATACGCGGCAACTGTCGCGGACATCTAATTAACGCGTACGTAGTGAGGATATCGAGGGGCAACAAAGAAAAGAATCCGTTTGGTTTCGAACAAAAGATTCATCCTGCGAAGATTCAGCTGCGAAAGGTTTAGCGTCATAGCGAAGCAAACACAAGCCGAGATACGTGATTATTAACTCTTGATAGTTGATTGTTGATCGTAAATTGTTGACTGTTAATTGTCAATAATTTAATAAACCTCTTTTGTTGAACATCAAAAGTATTTCTTGTGGGCACACTCATCAACAACCACCTCAAGTCTTTAGCGAATCAGTTATCAATTAGTATCGAGTATTCTTATGGCGACCAGTATCGAGCGACCTGCGGTTAACTTTGTATTCTGTATTATGTATTTATAAATATTTTAAAATACATCTGACGGCACAAATATCAACTCGTCTCATCACTACAAAAACCAACTCGTTTAATCGTCCTCCACAATTTTAATTTAAATAACTGCTACTATCACGTTTGAGTGTACTATCTCTCAAAAAACCAAACATAATCTGAGTGACCATCAAAGTATCACACAACACAGCACCTCCACGTCCAAAGCTGGTCCAAAGAAACATCGCGTTTACGAATCAGGAAGCAATTAAGACCAATATATTGTAGCTTAAAGGACGACATAGAACGTAAGCAACGCGGGTCTCACGGATCAGGATCGACAGAACGCCGGAAGGGAAGGCGGCAAAAGCCGTGACCAGCTCTTGTTAAGGCATTTCGTATGGTTTTCTTGTTTGCGTTATGCGAACGAATCATCCTGTTCGCTATGCGTAATTATTATTTGCTTGCTGGCTGCGCAGCTAAACGGAGCGGAAGGTGTTAGGTATGGGATGACCGCCTCGAGAGACTAATTGTAAGTAAGGCGTCGTCCATAATTGGACATCCAGCGTGTATCGATCAAAATTTTGAATTTTTTGTTGTATATTTATTATATATCTTGTTATGTGTTATTATAAATTTTCAACGTTACGGCTGAAGAATATTTTTCTTTATTGTTATTTCTTCACTTCTTATAACTTAGATCAAATATTCTGCTAAATTTAAATCGAGAAGAAATTTCTGAAAAGAATTTTTTGCTGTATACTTGTTATATATCTTATTATGTGTTATTATAAATTTTCAACGTTACGGCTGAAGAACACTTTTCTTTATTGTTATTTCTTCACTTCTTATAACTTAGATCAAATATTCTGCTAAATTTAAACCGAGAAGAAATTTCTGAAAAGAATATTTTGTTGTATATTTGTTATATATCTTGTTATGTCTTATTATAAATTTTCAACGTTACGACTGAAGAACAACTTTCTTTATTGTCGATTCTTCACTTCTTCTTATAACTTGGATCAAATATTCTGCTAAATTTAAACCGAGAAGAAATTTCTGAAAAGAATTTTTTATTGTATATTTGTTATATATCTTGTTATGTGTTATTATAAATTTTTAACGTTATGACTGAAGAACATCTTTCTTTATTGTTGATTCTTCACTTCTTCTTATAACTTGGATCAAATATTCTGCTAAATTTAAACCGAGAAGAAATTTCTGAAAAGAATTTTTTGTTGTATATTTGTTATATATCTTGTTATGTGTTATTATAAATCTTCAACGTCATGACTGAAGAACATTTTTCTTTATTGTTGTTTCTTCACTTCTTCTTATAACTTAGATCAAATATTCTGCTAAATTTAAACCGAGAAGAAATTTCTGAAAAGAATTTTTGTTGTATATTTGTTATATATCTTGTTATGTGTTATTATAAATTTTCAACGTCACGACTGAAGAACATTTTTCTTTATTGTTATTTCTTCACTTCTTCTTATAACTTAGATCAAATATTCTGCTAAATTTAAACCGAGAAGATATTTCTGAAAAGAATTTTTTGTTGTATACTTGTTATATATCTTATTATGTGTTATTATAAATTTTCAACGTTACGACTGAAGAACATCTTTCTTTATTGTCGATTCTTCATTTCTTCTTATAACTTAGATCAAATATTCTGCTAAATTTAAACCGAAAAGAAATAGCTTCATATTTTACTATATACTGATAATAGACATGTTTCGTTATGGTTTATTTATGAAATTTCAGAAAGCTGATTTGCTAAGTGTTTGAATGTTTTCTTAAACCAGTTTATATTTTGTATATTTATAATAATCCAGGACAGTATCCAGCTATTTATAGACGGCAGTAAACGTTGTTGCAGAGATTCTCGAAGAAATCGCCATTAATCACGTGGCAGTTAACGTGGCACGAGATACACACAAGCGTGGGCGACTGCGATGTTTCGCGAGCAATGCGTTTATCACTGAACGCCAATGTTTTGACCTCGGTCACTGATCGACATTTTGGCTTAAGTTGTTCTCAGCTAACCTCAATTATACCAGAGATTTCTACGAGAACGGTGAGAACAAGTGCAGGTAAATGATTAATCTCGTTTCTGTCCGAAGAATTACCATGTCTGGTGTTGAGGGGAAAAAATGGATGATATATTAGGATGTCCGAAAAGTTTCTTTCGTTTCATAAGATGATAATAGATGAACAATAATTTCTGTTTTATATTGTGTTATTGAATTAGGTATGATCCATTTCGTTATTATTATGTTCGTGCATAATTCAATAAACTAACATAAAACAAAAAAACATCGTGCGTCTATTATTTCCTTATAAAACGAAAGAAACTTTTCGGACAACCTAATATTTAGTAGAACAAATGAATAAGAGAGGGAAAGTACTTCGCCCTGAGACTCAGTTAAAAAAATATCACTTGAAATCTCTGAAAAGTTCTCGTTTAATGTAATACACGCCAGTTCTTATACAGTTAAATGTAGAATTTATTGAAGAATAAAATTTCATTTATTTTAGAAGAATTAAGAATCAAGTGAAATTTGAAACTTTAAAATATCAGCCCCTAGGAATTGTCTTTTAATCAGACATTAGTCTCGAATGGAGTAAAGTTACACTACTAGATACATTAACCAGATCGTACAATTAAAAATTAATAAAGATGTTGAAGTGGTCACCACTTATAAGAAAACTCTACATCTGGTCTTTTTAGTATTCTCAAGCAATGAAGCCATCGACAGCGCGTAGACAAAAGACTGCGAGGAAGTCAGACAGGCGACGTTGGCTTCAGCTCCGCTTCCCAGCGGATCAAACCCAAAAATTGTATTATACAACGAAAAATGTAAAGCGCCGACACATAATACAGCATGGCTACGTCGTACCGCCGCGTATCGGTACCCTTGCCTAACATATCATTACAAAAATTCACCGTTTATTCTGAATATGTACCTAAAACTGTATTCTTGGGCTCAATAAACAAAAAAAGAAAAAAGCGACGTTGGCTTCGGGATTTTCAGTTATTGGGTAACACAGCTAGCGTGCGGATCTGGAGCTCAAATTGTATTCTTACTTACAATTACACTTCTATTTAAATATATTTTCTGCCTTACAATTTATCTACGTGTTTTCTCTGTTTACACATCGAATAACCTCAACAAAAGATAAGTCAATTTTACTTGGAAAATGAAATTCTAGATTTTGCAAATGTATATGTTAGCGTTAACATATACATTTCGTTTCCTTGGATCAACTTTGGTGAAAAAGTACGATGGAATCGAAGCACCGAGATAAAATCACCACCATGGCGCAAAGATAGTGAGTCCAATTCAGTGCGGCAGTTTCTTCTTCGTCGGAAATTACGAAGTGAAATGAAGTCGGGGCAAAAGAAACGGAGAATGATAGAGAGACGTAGTGCAAGAGTGGCTGGAGGGCAGATCGGGAAGTGATCGTCTTTCAATTCCGTTATTCAAGCGTCAGGTAGCGGGCGGCGAATCTTGGAAGGTTTTCAGTCGCCTTGGGCACAGCGGAAAATCTTTAAATGGCCTAAGGATTCGCATCGCGAGAGGGAAGGTAATTGGCGCGATTCGCGGTCGCTCGCGATCTGCCACGATCCTCGCCGTCGGCGATTCCGCGTCTGTGAGAAACGTGCCTGGTTGAAACTTCACTTTGCTCCATCCACCCGC